TGTCTACATGCCTAAATGCACTGAGTTGCCGCCATGTGATTGGCTGATTAGAAATTAAGTGTTAACGAGCAGTTGGACAGGTGTACCTAATAAAGTGGCCAGTGAGTGTATATGATCTGTTCTGAACCAAATTTTGTGTGCATTGAGACCTGCTCAACACATTTGTGTAGTAGTTTGACAAGATATTTTTAGGCCCCCATCGGTCCATCCATCTGTCCACCTTATGAGATTATTTGAATAATGAAGGCCTGTGATGATTCCTGTAGGGCTGGGCACATATGAAATATGTGGAATAAAGTATTAACTGTAATAAACATTGTGGAGCACCACTTCATTTTGTTAAAAATTGTTTTAACTAAGGAAAAAGAAGAAAACCTTTGATGACTCAATGAGTAGTAATCAGTCTCAAAAATCATTACCCAAATAATGGAGTCTTTTCTTAGACAAAATTACTAAACTTTATCAAGACACAAACAGATGGTGAATTAAATTTGGTATGCTGTTTGCATACTTTTTATTTACAGATTACTATAATGACAAATTATGGAAGAAATGGAATGATGCAATATTTCAAAACCGAACTAAATTGAGGTAATGACAAGATTGACCAGAGTTAATACTGACAAACTATGACAACTGATCCAAATAAACTTTGGAGAGGCAAAGTAGATTCAGCATAAAACAAAACAAACAAATAAACACAACTAAGAGGTTTTGAGGCAAGAAGGATTTTAGGTGGAGGTTATTCTGCTGTGGTCAGAGGGCACATTGAGATGTCTGTCCTCAGAGGAGCTCTGCTGTGGAGGCTGGCTGCCAGACACCTGGGATGCATGTCTGTCCGTTAGTCAGGGAACTGGGGTCAGCTGGTCAAAAAATGACAATTCTGACATGTTTAGGACAGGAAGGGAGCCCAGGAGTCTGAGCTTAGAAGTTGAACCAAAGGTTTTGCTGGGATCCATACATCCAGGCTCTTGTTGATACGATCAAACAGATGTCCTAAAGTTTTCGACTGGTTATTTGCTTAACAGAGTTCCATTTGCTGTTTGGACAGAAGAAGGGGGTTGTTCCTCAGGAATCTTGAGTAGTCATAAAGCAAAGTACTGTGTCAGGAGTGTTGGACCTGGTCTGTGGGTGTCAAAAGTTCATGAGGCTCAGTTCAATGATTCTGATGTAGAAATGTTCAGATATTGACTAGAAATCAGTATTTCGCTCATTGTAGACCCTACGTTTCCCCCACTTGTGCATAACCTGTCCAAAAGTTGATGAGTTCCACGTCAACCTGGGCCTACTTGAAGAAGGCATCAACGGTCATTGATGTACTCCCACACGTGTCAAGGAGTAATTCAAATGTTAAAAGAGGGTAATTCCAGAAGCGTTCTTCCAAAAACAAAGTCAGTAATACAACAAACAGGTCAATATTGATTCCATAGGAAACCAGAGGGATCCTCTGGAAGTCAAAAAGTTTYGTAAAATGTAAATAAAAACAGAATGAAATCAAATGAAAGTCTCCTAAACCCATACGCTTTGCACAATGGAACATATTTAACACAAAGAATATTTATCAGTTTATAGAAAAAGAATGTAATTTTGGCCTGAGCTGAATATAACGTGCATCCATTACTGACTTTCAGTTTAGTTGCTTGCGCAATTTTTTTATTTTATTTTCTTGAAATCTTTTATGGTGATTTCAAGATGACAGGCCAGACAAAGAATGATTGGACAGACTCTTATGGACAAAATAATTCAAGGAACTTGGTGTCGCTTGCCTGGATGTGGTTTACTGGGGCCCCACCCTGGAGCCAGGACTGAGGGAGGGGCTTGTCGGCGAGTGCCTGATGGCCGGGTCTCTACCCATGGGACCTGGCCGGGCTCAGCCTAAATGAGCTACATGGGTTTGCCTTCCTGTGGGCCCACCACCTGCAGGAGGGGCCATAAGAGTCAGGTGCACAATGCCATGGGCAGTAGCCAAAGGCGTGGACCTTGGCGCTCTGACTCTGGCCTACCAAAACTGACTCTTAGGACATGGAACATCACCTCTCTGGTAGGGAAAGAACCTGAGCTTGTGCAAGAGGTTGAGAGGTACCAATTACATATAGTTGGGCTCACCTCAATGCACAGCATGGGCTCCAGAACTGATCTCCTCAAGAGGGGCTGGACTTCATTCTACTCTGGAGTTGCCCATGGTGAGAGGCGCCGAGCTGGTGTGGGTCTACTAATGACCCCCATCCCAGCGTGCTGGAAGGTGCTCCAGCTGGGGATTCCTTTATTCTGCTGAGGGACTTCATTGCCCTTGTGGGTAAAGGCAGTGTGACCTGGAGAGGTGTGATTGGGAGGAACGGCCTCTCCGATCTGAACCCAAGCAGTGTTCTGTTGGACTTTTGTGCTATTCAGTTTGTCCATCACAAACACCATGTTTGAACATAAGGGTGTCCATAAGTGCACGTGGCACCAAGACACCCTAGGTCGCAGATCGATGATTGACTTTGTAGTTGTGTCATCTGATCTGCATGTTTTAGACACTCTGGTGAAGAGAGGAGTTGAGCTGTCAACTGATCACCACCTGGTAGTGAGTTGGATCAGATGGCGGGGGAAGATTCCGGACAGACCCGGTAGACCCAAGCGTGTAGTGAGGGTTTGCTGGGAATGCCTGGCAGAGGAACCCGTCAGACAGATCTTCAACTCATGAGAACTTCAACCATATCCCAGCTGAGGCGGGGTACATTGAGTCCAAGTGGGCCATGTTCCGTGCCTCAATTGTTGAAGCAGCTGCCTTGAGCTGTGGCTGCAAGGTTGTTGGTGCTTCTTGTAGTGGCCATCCTCGAACTCTGTGGTGGACATCCTGGGTAAGGGAGGCTGTCAAGCTAAAGAAGGAGTCCTGTGGCCTTGTTGGCTGGTAGGACTTTGGAGGCAGCTAAGGAGTATCGGCAGGCCAAGCGTGCTGCAGCCCTGGCCATTGCAGAGGCAAAAGCTCAGATGTGGGAGGAGTTTGGTGAGGTCTTGGACAAAGACTCTCAATCGGCTCTGAGAAGATTTTGGCAAACCATCCGGTAGCTGAGGTGGGGGAAGCAGCACTTCACTAACACTGTGCTCAGTGAAGGTGGGGTGCTGTTGACCTCAACCAGTGATGTCGTCGGGAGGTGAAAGGAAGGGAATACTTCTCGGACCTTCTCAATCCCACCGGCACGTCTTCTATGGAGGAAGCAGAGTCTGAGGACTTTGGGGCTGGTCTGCCCATAACTGGAGCTGAGGTCACTGAGGTAGCTAAAAAGCTCCACGGCGACAGGGCTCCAGGGATGGATGAGATCCGCCCTGATTTCCTCAACGCTCTGGATGTTGTGGGGGCGTCCTGGTTGACACGCTGTTCCAACATCACATGGACATTGGGGGCAGTGCCATTGGATTGGCAGACTGGGGTGGTGGCTCCTCTTTTTAAAAATGGGGACTGGAGGGTGTGCTCCAATTACAGGGGCATCACTTAGCCTCCCTGGTAAGGTGTTTTCAGGKTTACTGGAGGAGAGAGTCCGATCGATAGACGAACCTCAGATTCTGGAGGAACAATGCGGGTTCCGACCTGGCCGTGGAACACTGGACCAACTCTTTACTAGGGTCCTTGAGGGGTCATGGGAGTTTGCTAATCCAGTCTACATGTGTTTTGTGGACTTGGAGAAGGCATTCAACCGTGTTCCTTGAGGTACACTATAGGGGGTGCTATGCGAGTCCAGGATTGTTGCGCCATTGTTATGGGCCATTCATTCTCTGTACAAGCAGTGTGCGAGTTTGGTTTGCATTGCCAGTAGTAAGTCAGACCCCACAGAGTGGGAGTTGGACTCCACCAGGGCTGCCCRTTGTCACCAATTCTGTTCATAACTTACATGGACAGAATTTCTTGGTGCAGCCAGATGATGTGGTTCTGTTTGCGTCATCGCGCCAGAATCTTCAGCTCTCACTGGAGCAGTTCATGACTGAGTGTGAAGCGGCTGAGATGAGGATCAGTACCTCCAAATCTGAGTCCATGGTCCTCAGTCGGAAAAGGGTGGATTGCTCTCTCCGGGTTGGGGGTGAAGTTCTGCCTCAAGTGGAGGAGTTCAAGTTGTAGAGATCTGTCTTGTCTGTTGTCTCCCTCTTGTGTCCTCCTTGTGTCATTACTCATCATTCTCTCCTCAKTCTGTTTCCTGCAGTTTCCCTTTCAATTATTACTCTCACCTGTCTCCTATTAGTAATTAGTTCTGCTCAGCTGCTGTTCATTTCCTTCCTCTGTATAAATACTGTTCACATCTCTCCATTAGTCACTGGTTCATTGTTTGGTCTTTAACTGCTGTTTGGATATTCCTTGAGCTTTTAGTTTTTAAGCAGTATTATGTAGTATTAAATATATATAGCATAACTATTTTGCATTTCTCCAGTTTGTCCTTCTGCTGAGTTTCAGGACACTGATGTTATTGCTATCTATTATTTTCCAGGTCCCCCTAGAGGAACTTGTTCCTGCTGACATGGAACCACATATACCCAAATCCATTTCACTCCCACCTCCGATCATACCAGAGGCAGAAAACTTGACCCTGGACCCTGTGAGTGACCTGTCTGCTGGGTACAAGTCACCCAGCAGATCTAAAGATAAACCTTTAGATGTCTACACTCTGAGCTGGGACCTGCCTTCATCATTTGACAATGGAGATGAGATTTTAGAGTCTGGACCAGATGAAGTGGAAGATGAAGTGACAAAAAAGCTCTCTGCAGACCAGTCAGACCATCAGAAGAATTTGGCTGATGTAGCTGAGAAAACAAATTTATTCAAACCAAATAAGACTCAGTCAGAGTCCAATCTGAACCAAGAAGAACCAAATCAGTCTCCATCTGTCAGCGTGACAGCTGAAGAACCTGCTGCAGGTCCAGAAAACCAGACCAAATCAAACCAAGACTCAACTCCTCACAGTGTTGGATCCAAACTGGACATTTCTGAACCACAAACAGAATCTGTGTCAGAACAAAACTTAGAGACCTGTCCCGAGAGAACTTCAGTGGAACATCTTGATGTTGTTGCTGCAGCTGAGGAAAATGTTGAACAGTCGCTCCACGATGAAACCCAATCATGTGACCGAGAACCTGAAGGTCAGGTGGGTTCTGTTGTCCAGCTGCAGGCTCAGCAAGAGCAGGCAGCTCCTGAAAGAACTATAGATCCAGATCTGATCCCAGCTTCTATTGAGGCCTCTGTTCCTCAAGAACCACCAGCTGCTGAACCCTTAGACATAAACGGGACACCTGACCCACCCGCACCCCCTCCCACAAAACCACTCCATCAGGTTCCTGGTTCATCTGCTTTGGATGGTTTTCCTCCTCCATCTTCCAAAGTCCCTTTATCAGCAGCTAACCCCTTCAAGATCCAGAAGGTTAAGTCCTCAGACCTCAGGTCTTTCCAGCAGATTGTGGAGCAGGAGGGCAATAACCCCCCACCCGTGGACCGGACCAGCAGCCTCGGGTCAGGACTCAACCTCTCTGTGCCGACAGAAAGCCTGGAGATAATCTCGGACTCAGAAGAAGGAGATGAAGCTGCTTCTGCTGTTCTTCCGGACTGGCTGAAGGAAGGAGAGTTTGTGACTGTGGGGACCAATAAGAGCGGGACGGTTCGCTTTGTGGGACCCACAGACTTCGCTGAGGGGACCTGGGTTGGAGTGGAGCTGGAGGTCCCAGCAGGTAAGAAGCGTCGTTTTCCTGGTTATTTCTGCTTTTTGACGTTTTTGGCATCAACTCATTCAGCACACCTGGAGCTGATTGAACCGTTCAGCTCGTTCAGCTGACTCTACCACCGTTTTTCTGTAAATCTCTTTAMGTCCCTTAAAGGGATCCCTGATTAGYTGTAACATTAGACTTTATTTGATAAACATATTTTAACTGTAAAATAAAGACTGTAAAAATACTGTAGGCTGTTTAGTTTTTATAATTTTAAACTAAAAGTTTAAAAATATGTTACACGGACAGGGCCATTTTATTTACACACAAAGCATTC